CCAGTTCTCTGCTGCTGTACTTGTACTCAGTGTGACTCGCCGTTTGGGCATTGGGAATCCAAGACTTCGACTTTGTGCCTTGCCACTGTGTCTGCGTCCAACCCTCAGTCCGAGTCCGTCGTGTCGAGTGAGTGAGTGTGTGTGTGTGCTCTCACTCTCTCCCTCTCTCTCTCCTCTCCCTCGGCTCACCCTCAGCCTCACTCCCGTTACAATTGGGGTGCTGTTGGCCCCCGCTGCGAACACGGCGCGCGTCCGCTTGTTTTCATGTAAGGTTTATAGTGACAGATAGAATGATTCTATAATGAATCTATATCCTTTCCTGAGTGTGTGCACTGTCTGCACCCAGACATCACATCTCCATTATACGGGCATGCTCCTCTGTGATGCCTGTCGTTGTTTCGTGCTTGCCTGCACTCCTTGTCATGAGTGTTATGTGGGCATGATTATGTTAGCCATTGTCGTAACTGTTGCGCTGATAATGCTCAGTTCGATGTTCCGTGTCTTGACTCATCTCATTCCGACGGTTTGTCTCCCCTCTGTTGTCGAGGAAGGACTGACTGTTGAGTTAGCTTATTCTTTCCTGCTTCCTCTCTGTGCCGTACTCCTTACTCTTCCTTTTCTCTCCCTTTATTCTACCTCTTTTCAACATCTTGCAGGTGGCCCGTTGTGGCCTATGGGGGAGTAGGCAGCTTGCACTGAACTACATCAGCATGGCAAGCCTTTCACGTAAGAGAAACAGTGAAGGGAGGCCTGGAAAATAAAAGAGAAACCATGAAAAACCTTTGGAAAAGCCAAAAGGAAGAAAGAAAAGAAAGAATTGTACTGAAAAAGGCAAACAGAATGGTTTCAGGGTCCCTCATACTGTCTGTTCTTTCGTTCATATGATTTGCAAAATGCGCTCTTTTTGTTGATAGGTACGGATGGACCAGGATGGTGTTTGCTCTTTTGTTGACAGTGTGAGGGTTGAGCCCTCGGCATCCTCGAGAAAGGCCCTACCCGCCCTAAGAGAAGGCGGGTCTGCAATTTTGGCCTTGGCCTTACTTCAGTCTGCACACCATGATCTGCAGGACTACAAACAAGTTATAAGAGTATATTGTACTATATGACCATGGTGAGAGGAAACTGTGTTACAGGGCCCCGTGGGCAGGTTGCCGCATGCAGCATCTCTAACCAACCGGCAGGGCTCAACCTTCGGTTGGTTGAAGATGCTGAGGCCCAGTCAAAGATGCTGAGGCTCAGGGCCTTACAGTTCTGGAAGGGGCCCTGGGGGCTGTTACTGGGACAGGGGTGCAGACATTCCAGCCAGGCCATGAGCCAGCCAGCACAGAAGGAAGTGAACCTTGTTCACTCCACAGAATCAGACTGACTGGATCCAGCAGCGCTAGCTCGTGCGGATGAGCGCCAGGCCGGAGGTGTATGAGGGCGCTGGCCAGGAGCGAGGAAGCTGCTGGGCGCAGCGAAGCAGGAAGGCGCAGCAGCCATAGCCAGGCTGCTGGTGGCCATAGCCGGAGGAGGAAGGCGGAGGTCCTTGGGCAGAGGGAACTGTGGAGTAAGTCAGAGAGAGGGGGCAATGTGACGAGGTACTCTCCTGGTGAAAGGGAAGCAGGCCGTTTACAAGGAGTCTTCGTGTGTTCATGGCCTGATGATCTTTGTTGTAGATAGGATTCCAGGTTGTAGGAGCGGGCTGTCTCTCGTCCGGGCGCCGAGCGCCAATGTCGAAGAGCCACATTGTTGATAGTGGTGATGGGAGGTGAGAAGAGGGCCTTCATTATCATGTGACTTCGATGCTTTGCTCTACTTATTTGGTGTTATCGAAAGCTGCTGGATGCAGCGAAGCAGGATGGTGCAGCAGCCATAGCCGGACTGCTGGTGGCCATAGCCAAAGGAGGAAGGCGGAGGTCCTTGGGAAGAGGGGACTGTGGAGGAAGTCAGGGAGAGGGGGCGATGTGATGAGGTACTCACCTGGTGAAAGGGAAGCGGGCCGTTTACACGGAGTCTTCAAGTGTTCATGGGGCTGGTGATCTTCACAGCGAACCTGTTGTAGATAGGAGTCCAGGTAGTTGGAGCTGTTTGTCTGTCGTCTGGGTGCCAAGCACCAATGTAGAAGAGCTACATTGTTGACTTGGTGATGGGAGGCGAGAAGAGGACTTTCATGATCATGTGACTTCAATGCTTTGCTCGTACTTATTTGGTGTTATCCCGGTTCGCAATCTGCTTTCAGTTCATGGTTTTTACGGATTTCTACGGAATGCTGCAATCTGGTTTACTGTCATTTGCATTTCTTATTTCCTTGCAATAGCTGCTGGGAAAATTAAATGATGTATGCGATTCACAAGAATGCTTTGTTACACTATATCTGTCTTTGGTGTTTCGAATCTTTTGAGTTTCAAGTTTTGACAATGCCTGTTATGTGTGGCATAATTTGGCAGATGCTTTCGCAAGAACTCCTTCGCAAGTACATTGTTTATGCACGGACTCAGGTCTTCCCTAAGCTGCACAACTCAGACATGGACAAAATTGCACGTGTTTATGCCGATCTCAGAAGGGAGTCCATGGTGAGTAAAATCTACCTATGTGCCAAATGTCCTATCCTTGAACAATGTGTCGATTCATTGAGATAAGAACCTGATTTCTGCTGTTATCCTCCAAATTTTGATTTTGAGAATCGCTATTAAGTCCAATTGCTCATCACAACGTGACATTACAACAGGACATGCGAAGAGAGAGAAGATTGATGTCCAAAAGACTTTGACATCATTAAGTGAGAGGATAATATTGTCACCCGGCCTTGTCACCTCTCTTTTTCAAAATCTCCTTCCTCACTTTACCCAATATAGACAATTGAGCTTGAAAGAATCAGTGTGAATGGGCACGCTGGGCTGGGTCTGAACGCTACCGACGGAGTATGCACGGTCCCCAGCAGGGTTAGGCTGGACTGCCTGCCTGGCCAAGCTCAGTTGATACACCCATGAACTGTTGAAACACAGACCTGAGTTCGAATTCCGATGGAATCAGATGAGTCATAACTCTGAATTTACCTGGGGCCGGTCAGTTAGTTCAAAGATGATATCTCAAGGCTGTCACCCTAGGAAACAGCAAAAGCACGGTTCCTCCGCCTGCACATTTAGGAGAGTACCAAAGGAGAGAGCATCGGAGGTCAGGAGAGCGCTGCGCTAATGAGAGCTTTACATGCCATCCTCACCTTCGAGAACCATGACCTCCATGTCCTGATCTGTCCATGTTCTCCTCATCTTCTTCTTCCTGCCAGCATAGGAGTTGTCAAGACGGGTTGGGAAACTGCGCCTGAAGCTGAGCATTCAGGACTGAAAGGATAGTGGCATTATCCATACGCCTTCATAGCACATTATGCTGTGCATGCTCTGCCATAGAGAAAAAAAAGTAGATCGTGATTTTCTCTTCCTCCCCCTCCTTTTTGTGATCTTCCCCTGTTCCCCATGTTCAGATATCAATCTCCTCTCTCTACCCACCTTCCCTGGACCCTACCCTGTACCGATATACTTCTGTGCCTGCCTTTTGTAACCCTCTTGCCCCATTGCAACCTCCCCCTGCCCTGATGGTTTGAGCTCATGCGAGCGATTTATGCCATATGTTTCTGGCCGTTCGATTGTCTCAGCAGCTGGCAAAATAGATCAGAACGTCTAGAATTAATAAAAAGCTAAGCAACTCCTTGACTTCCTGTCCTCCGCCTTCTTCTTCTGCTGCTCCCCCTCTTCCTTCTCCTTATTGTGCAATTCTCTGCCCTCATTGTTCAGAGCGACCCCCTCGACCCCTCCAATCTTTCTTCATCTCGCTACCATCTGCCTTGTTCAGAGCGAAGCCCCCCTGCTGCTCCCATTTCTTGCAATCCGCTCCCGATATCCCCCTCTGCCTGCTTTTTTCATCCCTTTTCCCCATCACGACCTCCCCCTTTTTTCCTCTTTTTGTTTGGAGATATCTTCATCCAGTTGACCGGCCCCTGGTAATTCAGAATTAATTCATTGCCTTCATCAACGTCCATCAGGATTCAAACTTGGGTCTGTAATTCAACAGTTAATGGGTGTACCAACTGAGCTAGGCTCCTCAGATTGTGAGTGCTTTTTCATCTCCCTTCATTGCAACCTCCCACAGCTCTGATTACATACCCTCCTTTTGTATGTTAGTCAAGATAATCATGGGTTGAGCCCACACGAGCAGATTATGCAAAGTTTTGCTGGCTGTTCAAAAACGAGAGAGTTGGAAAACGCAAGTCATTGGTAGCTGATCGGAAAACTATTGGCCTAGAACATGCGAGGGAGGGAAGGAGGGGGGGGCGTAGGGAGAGACTCTCATACAGGGTTGTGTTTGTGTGTTTGTGTGTTTGTGTGTGTGTGTGGGTGTGGGTGTGCGTGTGTGTGTGTGTGTGTGTGTGTGTGTGTGTGTGTGTGTGTGTGTGTGTGTGTGTGTGTGTGCTGCACACATACGTATTGATTGATTTGATTGCTTGATTGATTTGATTGGTTTGGTTGGTTTGATTGATTTGATTGATGGATGGATTGATTGGATTGAATTGATCTATTGGATTGATTGGATCGATTGCATGGGCTGAATCGATTGGATGGATTGGATGGATTTGATGGATTGCACGGATCGATTGATTTGATTGTGTAGCGAGCCTGAGCTTCCTGCATCAACCAGAATTGCAATTTCAGTCTGAGTTGTACACACACACAGAGCAAGTATGCCGTTAAGGCATACGTGGATGTGGGCAGCTGGCGCTGAACCACAATCAACGTGGTCAGCCTTGTATGTGAGAGGCACAGTAAAAGGGGAGCTGCACGAACAAATAAAAGGGGTGAAATGGATCTAGTGTGCCCCATGTTGCTTGCTATAGAGGTAAAACTGTTCATTGCCGGTTTGGCTTATCTCAAGTGTGCTTCATTGTCTGCAATAGAGGTAAAGCTGCTTAGATTTTGGATCTACTCATCTGGGTGGAACAGGGGCTGTTGTGGTGAAAATTTAAAACGCACAGACAGAGTGCCAAACACAACGAGAGATGGAAACCAAATCTTAAGAGATTTGGAGACTCAAGTTATCTGTGCAAACATCTTCGCTTGAGCCCACTTCTCCATGGGCAACTACTGTCTCCCAGCGCCGTCAAGTCCAAACGGACCTGTGTACAACTGGCAGGTGGCTATGGGCGCTAGCCCCAACCAACAAGAAGATGAAGACTCGGTCTCCTTGATCATCTGGCCTCTCTTTCTCTGAATGTCTTCTCTCTCCTTCTACCATACAGCTATAGCTATGGCGCTCAGCTAGTCTGTCTCATTTCAGAACAGGAGTGGTCCCACAGCAAGCCCAATGGAATTGAGTGATGACTGGAACTGTTGCTGTGGATGTGATGTTACAGCTTCCTAGCCCTCAGCCTTTGACGTTTCCGGAAAGTTCTCTGGCCTTCCTGGGACCCTGGGCCGCCGACTTACTTGAGACTGGAGTGGACTGAACTGGACTGGCATCTTAACCTACTGGGACCCAACAGCCTAACATCTATCTGGGACCAGACTGACCAACTGCTAGAACCCACCTTGGATCTTTTGACACGACAGTCCCGAGGTCCTGAGATTGCAGGTACCTTGCAGTCGATTGCTAGCTTGTTTTCTTGATGGATAAGTGGATGGATGGATGGATGGATGGATGGATTGGTTGGAAAGTAGAAACGGAAAAATGAGAAAACAATGTGTGTACGAGCACACACCAGTTTTTCATGGGCTATTTGTCGGTGTGTGTGTGTATGCATCTGTAATATTGTGTATGTGTGTTTACGTGCTCATGCGCATGTATGGCTGTGGGTGGGTGTTCTGGATGGTGTGTGTTGTGTGTGCGTGCAGGCGAGTGCGAGTTTGTGGGGTCTGTGTGTGTGCGCGTGTGTGTGTGTGTGTGTGTGTGTGTGTGTGTGTGTGTGTGTGTGTGTGTGTGTGTGGAAGTGTGTGTGTGTGTGTGTGCATGTCTATCATATTTGCGGCGCATCCCGTGCGCGCGGGGTCGTGGCACATGTGGCGCAGAGCGCATGTGCATGCACGCGCGCGCACGTGATGCGGCGCATCACAAAAAAGAAATAAATAAAAAAGTTGAAAGGACAGGGTGGGGTGGCCAAACATGCCCCTCGCTTCTAAAAATCAGGAAGCAAGAGGGGAAAAAGTCGGGGCCATGCCATACCCCGAAACTGTGGGCACATGTCTGTGCGTGTGGGTGTGCATGTCCTAATTGTGTCCAGTCTCTTTTCCGAAGGGCCCCTACAGCGAATTAGCTAGGACCCCGCATGGAGCAGAGATAAACTTTAAACTTCCTGTTTGTACGCGTGGGCCGAGAATATATAGTCTGGATTCGAATTGAGGTCTGTGCATCACGGTTATGGGTCACTAATTCTCTTTTTTCTCGCTTTTCTTTTCTTAGGAATACGAGCAGTGGCCCTAAGGGCCTCTACTCACCATATGCACAAAAGACAAAACATGTGGCGGCGTGCACAAAAGACAAAACATATGGCGGCATATTATTCCACGTTCTGGCAGAAGATTGATTCTAATTTTGCACATTTGCTGAGTAGTGCAGTCAAGCCCTGAGAATCACGTGCAGAGACCAGCAGGGCCTACCTAAGTGAGCAACCCATCCCTACACTATTAAAATCGCTAATGAGACAAATCTAACATCCGGGCCGTCGTCGGTCCTACCGGCCCACGGCCCAGATCGACCGAATCATGTAACAAATCTTCTATCCGGGCCGTCGGGTCCTGCTGGATCGACGGGCCGGATTGGAGTGCGGTCTTAAGATCTTAAGATCACGCGTCAATCCAGGCCGTTGGCCCGGTACCTTGGGCCCGACGGCCCAGATTGATCAGGCAGGACCCGTCGAGGCCTGTCGCTGGGAACCGGTTTGCTTGCCCATTGGAGCGGGCCGTTTCTGTGCACGGGCTTCCCAAAGGGCAACAGGCTTCCCAAAGGGCAAAGTGGTTCCAGTAGGCTGCCCTTTTGGGTGGCGGCACGGGAAAATCCTACGCACGGCGCGCACGTTTTTGGTGGCGGCACGGGCAAATCCCACGGCGTGGGAAAGATTAACCCCTACGCTACTCTACGCTCGACTTCGACTTTACTACTTCACTCTGCACTGCGATGCTCGACTGCGACTTCACATGTGTCTGGCACATACACACACACACACACACACACACACACACACACACACACACACACACA